TTTAGAATTCTTTTTTAAATTGAAATTTAATTCAAAAAAATTTCTCCAGAAAATATTCCAATAGTCTAACTTAATTGAAGACTTCAAGAATTTTTTTTTACAACCTAAAATTTGATAAAAAAAAAATTTAACTAAACAACCTAATTAGAACAAATGAAATCAAGTAAACCAGTGTTACTAAACTGGTAATTATTCAAAATGTGGGTAAATTTATTTTTTGCGGGTAAAACAGTAGGCATTTCAATCATGGAAAATTTTTAGGTAAAAATTCAAGAATTCACAACCAAACAATAGCAAAAAAGTATGGTTTGAAAACATAAATCTTAAAAGAATTACTATAACACTAATAAATAGAATGAGATCTAGACACATATGCACCAACGAATGCCTATACAGGTTAAAAATTAAAAACAATCCTATACATGCGATTGCGAATATAAAACACAAAACTTGAACCACATTTTTTTCAATTGCAACTTAACAAAAACAGAATCGGAAAACCTATTCCAAGTACTAAAACAAGAAAAAATATAGACACCCTGCGACATCTGAAACTTAATCTTTACAGAAAACATAAAAATCCTCTACTGCATCACACAATTTGCCATAAACATCAGAAAAATAATCAACCTGACTCACATAATAATATAACGACAGCATATAATTTAAAATATATTCGCCCATCACATCACAAACATTAGCTGTACGGGATTCCCTCGTACAGTCGATATTAATTTATTTTTCAAATTTGAATTTGGCGCTTTTTTTTTATTCATTTGGGTAAATTCGAGTCTTTCATATAACTCTAAGGGGTAATAGAAAAGTAAATTATTAGCAACACTGATCCAAATCCGTTTAGATCCCCCAGAACCTCCCCTTATTAAGAAAAAAAAGATTTAAAACGATTCGAAATGGCTCAAAGCGATTAAAAACGGTTCAACTTGACAAATATTTAGACATACATTTTGCATGGGTTGAATCGTTTAAAATTTTTTTTTTTTTTAATAAGGGTCCCAATAAAAAATCTCAAATCCCGTGAAACTTTCAGGGAAAAATCGACGTGTGCATCGCGTTACTCCAACACGGAGCAGACCCTAACATCCGTAACACAGAAGGCAAAACAGCCTTAGAACTCGCGGACCCTTCCACCACAAAGCCCGTCCTCACAGGAGAGTACCGCAAAGACGAGTTACTCGAAGCAGCTCGTTCCGGAAACGAAGAGAAGCTTCTCCAGCTTCTCAACCCCCTTAACGTGAACTGCCACGCAAGTGACGGCCGACGTTCGACGCCTTTGCACCTAGCAGCGGGTTACAACCGCGCACGAGTGGTGCAAATCCTGCTGCAAAATGGCGCAGACGTCCACGCAAAAGACAAAGGCGGCCTGGTACCTTTGCATAACGCCTGCAGTTACGGGCACTTCGAAGTAACCGAAGCCCTTCTGAAGCACGGCGCGGCGGTGAACGCCAGCGACCTCTGGGCGTTCACGCCTCTGCACGAAGCAGCTAGCAAATCTCGAGCAGAAGTTTGCTCTTTGTTGCTGAGCGAGGGCGCTGACCCAACTCAATTAAACTGCCACGGCAAGAGCGCGATAGATGTCGCGCCTACTCTAGACCTCCAGGAGAGGCTTGCCTACGAATACAAAGGCCACTGCCTGCTTGACGCCTGTCGGCAAGCCGACCCTGCTAAATTTAAAAAATACCTCACTCCTGATTTGGTGAACTTCAAACACCCCTTTACCGGCGACACTGCCCTCCACATCGCCGTGTCAGTATCCTCTCCAGGGAACGCTTCTCCCTCGGCCTTTAACCCCAAGCGCAACCAGATAATCGAAACTTTGATCAGAAAAAACGCGGCTGTTAACGAAAAGAACAAAGATTTCCTCACGCCGCTTCACGTCGCAGCAGACAGGTCTTACTTCGAAGCGATGGAGATCTTGCTGAGGAACAACGCGAGGGTCAACGCGTTAGACAACCTAGGACAGACCGCTCTGCACCGCGTTGCAAGAGAAAACAACCTCCAGGCGGCGAAAATCCTCCTGGCTTACAACGCAGACACCACCATCATCAGCCTTCATGGCTACACTGCGGCGCAGCTTGCTTCTGACAACGTCGCACAGCTCCTGGAGAATCCTCCAAGCAACAGCTGTTTGTCTGACGTTCAACTCCTGGAAGCTTCCAAGGCTGGAGACCTTGCTGCAGTTGAACGAATTTTGAATGCCAACCCTCTGGCTGTTAATTGCAGAGACCTGGATGGAAGACACTCAACCCCTCTGCATTTTGCTGCGGGGTACAATAGGGTGCCTGTGGTTGAGTTTCTGCTCGCTCATGGCGCTGATGTTCATGCTAAAGACAAGGGAGGGTTAGTTCCACTTCATAATGCTTGCAGTTATGGACACTATGAGGTCACGGAATTGTTGGTCAAGCATGGAGCTTCGGTTAATGTTGCGGATTTGTGGAAGTTTACTCCGCTTCATGAAGCTGCGGCCAAAGGGAAGTATGAGATTGTGAGGTTGCTTTTGAGGCATGGAGCTGATGCGGGGAAGAAGAATAGGGATAATGCTACGCCACTGGATTTGGTTAGAGAGGGAGATCAAGATGTGGTGGATTTGCTGAGGGGGAATAGTGCGTTGCTGGATGCTGCGAAAAAAGGAAATTTGGGGAGAGTTCAGAAGTTACTTACTGCGGAGAATATTAATTGCAGGTATGGATTATTTTTATTTTTTAAAAATTTATTTACTTTATTTTGTTTAAATTTAATCAATATTACGATTTATTTAAAACAATTTTGAAATTTAGTTCTTAAATTTTCTGTAAGATGGCGTTGCGCACCGGATATATTACTACGTCACAGCCGCGCGAAAATTCAAATTTAAAAAAATAATTTTTAATTCAAAAATTATATAGACAATTTTAATAAATTTTTTTTTTTACTTTTTTAATAATTCTCACTAAATTTTTAAAGAACAAAATAATAAATTGGCTTTTTTATTTTTTAATATTACTAATTTATCTAAAAAAAAAAAGTTCTAAGTAAATTAAATACCAACCTATTAAAATAAAATTGTAGGGACGCTCAAGGACGGAACAGTACCCCACTGCACCTAGCGGCAGGTTACAACAACCTAGAAGTAGCAGAATACTTATTAGAACGAGGTGCAGACGTAAACGCCCAAGACAAAGGCGGACTAATTCCTCTGCACAACGCGAGCAGCTACGGCCACCTGGACATCGCAGCGTTGCTGATAAAATACAACACTGTGGTCAACGCAACAGACAAATGGGGTTTCACACCTCTTCACGAAGCTGCGCAAAAGGGAAGAACACAACTATGCGCACTGCTGCTCGCGCATGGCGCCGATCCGTTCCTGAAGAACCAAGAAGGCCAGAGCCCGATAGACTTATCCAGCGCGGAGGACGTCAGATGTCTGCTCCAAGACGCAATGACCTCGCAGCAGATTGTTCCAGGAACCGTGATGAACCTGACCGGTTCCTTGGTCAGACAATCGGGTTCCTCTATCACCTCCACGCCGAGTTCGCCTACTCCATCTGCATTGCATGAGACAGTGATCATGCCCTCTGGAGCGGCGATGACGCTCTGTGTTCCACTGCCCAGTTCCAGGAACATCAACACAGAACTGACTCCGGTTCCGCTGTTGGAGACTTGGTTGGACAAGGAAGACCGAGGGGTTACTAATATTGGTGGGTTCCTCAAGAGTTTGGGGCTGGAACATCTTCTGGAGCTGTTCGACAGGGAACAGATCACGTTGGACATCCTTGCGGAGATGGGACATGAAGATCTTAAACAGGTGAGTGAAAAAAAAATATCAATGTTAATTCTTCAATTATTCTTTAATGTAAACTAAAGCTTCGGGCGCTATAACATCAAATGCAAAAGATTTAGTCATTTTTTCTTTCAAATCATCGTACAATTCCCAGTCGCCGTTAATTCGCCGAACGTAGGCTTTAAAATGTTCAGAATCTCCCTCTATGACCCCCGCGAGTCTGAATTTTGTTTTTAAGAAGTTCAATTTTTCGGGGAACATGTTCAACCTGCACTTGTATTTTTTATTGCCCGCAGAAATTGTAAAATCGATGAACAAATAATTCTGCAGTTCAAAGTACGTTTCAGACATATTTTTGCACAGATGACACCGTAATTTATCGTTTGTAAAACTATTGAGTTCTTCTTCGATCGAAATCTTTCTAGTCGGACCAAGTTTCACTATTTCAAATGCCGATTTTTTCGAGCGGTTTTCCGGATGACAGGTGAAGCGTCTGTAAGCGCTGGGCAGTTCGTCAAAGTACTTCTCCCAGACTCCAAGAATCGTCCCGAAAAGGTCGATAGTAAGCGTGGGAGCTTGCCCGCCTGATTCTGCAAGAGCTAGGTTCTTCGATACTAGATAATCATCCCGAAGAGAAGCTGCCTTTGAGCAAGGACCCGCGCGAAGTTTCAGGATCAAATCTACGATTTGTGAGTTTTGTTGCGACGCGTTTTCAAAATTCGGGTAGTCAGTAACGTTCGCTAGGAGGATCTGGGCTATTGAATCGAATCCGCAGGAGTTTTTAAGCTCGAACTTCTTTCCTCCCGTGCGATAAACTGAATTTTTGCTCGCGTTGGGCAGAAGACAGCATTCTTGCAATGGCAGTTTTGATAGATGTTGTGGAAATTGTTTATCAATAAATTTGTCTGTATGCTTTAATTCTGACGACGCTATGTCTGTAAAAGTAGGTTTAGTTTTCATTTGATTAATCGAAATATATCCTAAATTAGACTTGTGAGTATCAGATTGGGATAAGTTTGATTTCTTAGGTTTCAATGGCAATTTTGCTAAATCTTGCGAAGGTTTTTTGTTGACCCATCCATCAATGTAATGATATTCAGGCTGCGAACCTTTATAAATAGGATTTGTTTCTTGGTAATGATAAGAGTCGGCTGAATCAGATTTTGCAACATTTTCCAATGGCAATCTTTTCAAATTTTCTGCAGAACGTTTTTGAACCAATTCATCTATATTTTGATATTTATGCTTCAAATTAGATGTCTTCAAACTACGATAAATAGGAATGTTTTTTATTTGATTAAGAAATGAATTTTCTGGATCAGATTTTTGAACTTTCTTCAATCGCAATCTTGCTAAATCATACGCGGACTTTTTATCAACCACTTCTTTTGGAGGTTCGTATTCATTTTCCAAATTAGATGTCTTCAAACCACCATAAATAGGATTCTCTTCCATTTTATGAAGTAAAGAATTATCTAAACCAAATTTTTTAATTTTCTTCAATGACAATCTTCCTAAATCTTCCGCAGAACGTTTTTTGACCAATTCATCGATGGATTGATATACATGCTTCGATTTAGAAGTTTGCGAACCTCTATAAATAGAATTCTCTTTCATTGGATAAACTAAAGAATTATGTAAAGTATATTTTTGAAGTTTTTTCAATGGCAATCTTGCTAAATCTTCCGCAGAACGTTTTTTGACCAATTCATCGATGGATTGATATACTTGCTCTGAATTAGAAGTTTGCGAATCACGATAATTAGGATTATTTTCCATTTGATGAAGAAATGAATTTGGACCAGCTTTTTGAACACTTTTTAATGGAAATCTTGCTAAATTTTCCGCAGAATCTTCATCAACTAATTCTTTTGGAGATTCTTGTTGCAATGTCAATTGCAACGAATCTTCCTTTATTCCTACCCGCTGAATCGGTGGAATATCATCAGGTTTGCAAATATATTCAAAAGCCCTTCTATTTTCTTGATTCTTCGATCGGCGAATCGATTTAGGTTTCACCGAATCAAAGGCAGACAAATTAACAATTCTGCTTCGCAATTTTTTCGTTTCAATAGCTTTTTCAATCGGCAGCAAAGTCGCATCGCTACCAATCTGCTTCAATTCACGGGTTTTAGAACTCAAAGCTTCCCACAAACTATAACCTTCGTCTCTTTTGACACCCACCAATGTTCTGAGTTCTTCATTAAACACTTCGAGCAGCAGAACTTGACCATCCGAAATAATCAATTCACCTTTTTTCAAATGTGTTCTCATCGAATCAAACTCAGCGATTAACTTGTTGTAAGCGTCGATTTGTTCATTGCAAGTTTTTAAGGATATGCTTGTGTAAAGGTCACTTTCTTCGGCTTGGCTGGTATAAAACGAATTTATTATCGAAGTGGCCTTCATTATTTCAGAATACTTTTTTGTCAGTTCCAAGATAAAGACATCTAGAGCCTTTGTCATGTCTTCTTCTCGGGTTGAAAGGAATTTTCGGACATACTTTTTATCCAAATTAGATAGATATTTCTCGACGAGTTTCAACAGTCGACGATATTCAATGACGTTTGAATTTAATACGGTGATGAAATTCTTTAATAATAACACGTTTGGATTTATTTTACTCATTTTGTTAAACTTCTGTACTAATAAATAATAAAAAAAAAAAAAATTATATTTAATAGAAAAGTTACGCAGTACTATATCTGGTCTGTAGCGCCATCTTACAAAAAATTTAATAACTAGAATTTTTAATTTTGTCTTTTGTCGTGATTATTATGCATTAATTAAAATAACAAATTTTGTCGTATAACTTGACAATAATTTGTTAGATTAATTTTGGCTAACATTTATAATTACATCACATTTTTTTTTAAACAAAAAAATTTTTTTTTCATGATTTAATTAAATTTGTTAATAAAACAGATAATTAGATCAAAATAGATAATTGTTTTATTTATACAAAAATTCTCAGTAATAAAAAATTAATACAAATAATATTTAAATTTAAATTTTGGCGGGAGTGTGACGTAGTACCTTTTCCGGTTCGTGGCGCCATCTTACAGAAAATTTAGGAACTAAATTTTCAAATTTTGTCTTTTTAAGGCTTAATAGACTAAATTAATAATTAATTTTATATTTTTAATCATAAATAATAAAAATTACACAATAAAATTCATTTTTTTATTAATTATAATTTTTTTTTAATTTGAATTTTGGCGGGAGCGTGACGTAGTACCTTTTACGATACGTGGCGCCATCTTACAGAAAATTTAGGAACTAATTTTTAAAATTTTGTCTTTTTAAGGCTTTATCGACTATATTATCAATTTATTTGATGTTTTTAATCATAATTAATGAGAATTAATTAAAAAAATTAATTTTTAAGGTCGGAGTGACTGCATACGGGTACAGACACAAATTAATAAAAGGGATGGACAAGCTCCTAAACTCAGCGACGACTCTGTGGCAACCTTCGCTGAGTTCAACTCCAGGAACATTATTAGTCGACCTCCTGGTGGACGATAAAGAGTTTCTGGCTGTGGTGGAGGAAATGCAGAGCGGAATTCGCGAACACCGAGACAATGGACACTCTGGAGGGATATTCTCTAGGTACAACATCGTAAGGATCCAGAAGGTCCAGAACCGGAAGCTCTGGGAGCGATACGCTCACAGGAGACAGGAAGTCGCTGAGGAAGTCATCGCTGCGGGACCTTGTGGCTCTCCGCCGTCGGGCTCCGGCGCTAGTAGAGCGACCCCTACTCCTGCGACGACGATCCCTCAGGCCAATGAGAGGATGCTGTTCCACGGGAGTTCCTTTATCAATGCTATTGTCCAGAAAGGCTTTGACGAGCGGCATGCTTACATTGGGGGGATGTTTGGCGCCGGGATTTACTTCGCGGAACACAGCAGTAAGAGCAATCAGTATGTTTATGGGATTTGTGGAGGCACTGGATGTCCTGCTCATAAGGATCGCTCTTGTTACATTTGTCATAGGTGAGTTTTGTTTATTTTTAATAATTTTATGACTTTTTCATTTAATGATTCAATTTTTTTATGATTTTATGACTTAATTTTTGCTGATTTTATGACCTAATTGTTGCACAATTTTATGGCTTAATTGACACTGATTTTATGACTTAAAATTATATTTCTATGACTAAATACTAAATTTTTATGATTTTATGATTAGATAACATATATTTATGACTTAATTTTTACTGATTTTATGATCTAATTCTTACTGATTCAATGATTTAATAACATGATTTCATGATCTAATTTTCACTGATTTTATGACTTAACACTAAAATTTTATGATTTAATAACATAATTTCATGACCTAATTTATAATGATTTTATGACCTAATTTTGCTATGATTTTATGATCAGATTTTCACTGATTTTATGACTTAACATAATATTTTTATGACTCAATTTTCATTGTTTTTATGATTTATGATGATCTAATTTTCACCTATTTTATGACCTAACATAATATTTTTATGACTTAATGTATATCAATCTTATGACTTAATTTTCACTGATTATATAATGCATGACATCATTTTTATTAATTTTATGATTTAATAGTATATTTTTATTATTTAGGTACTTTTCACTGATTTTATGATTTAATAACATAATTTTATGACTTAATTTTTACTGATTTTATGATCTAATTTTCACTGGTTAGGACTTAACTAGAAATTTAAATAGCGCGCTACGCGCGCGCCTAAATTTTAACCACTAATGAATCGTGGCCGGTTTTTTTGCGAGTTTCGACCTTTGACTAACTTCAAGACTTTCATATATTTTAATTTACAGGATATTATACTTTATGATTTAATTTTCACTGATTTTATGATTTTATGACTTAACATAATATTTTTATGACTTAATTTTCACTGATTTTATGGCTTAATATTATAATTTTATGATTTAATTTTTACTGATTTTATGATTTAATTTTTACTGATTTTATAACTTAAAATAATATTTCTATAACTTTAAATAATATTTTTATGACATACTTATAATACTTATGACATTTTTATCATACTTATGACTTAATTTTTACTGATTTTATGATCTAATTTTCACTGATTTTATGACTTGATTTTTACTGATTCTATGATCTAATTTTCACTGATTTTATGACTTGACATAATATTTTTATGACTTAATTTTTACTGATTTCATGACTTAATTTTCATTGATTTTATGATTTATGACTTAATTTTCCCTGATTTTATGACTGAATTTTGGATATTTTAAAAAATTTTCTGTCTTCAATTTGAAAATTTTCTTAAAAATAAAAATTTTTCCAGACACTTACTACTCTGCCGAGTGACCCTAGGAAAATCATTCCTTCAATTTTCCGCGATGAAGATGGCGCACGCGCCACCGGGTCACCACAGCGTGATGGGCAAGCCGTCTCAAGGCGGCTTGGCCTTCCCGGAGTACGTAGTGTACCGAGGCGAGCAAGCGTACCCTGAGTATCTGATAACCTACCAGATAGTCGGTCCGCAGGCGTCTAGCAGCCGCGCAGGCGCCCCGGACAGCGAGCCCGACGCCTCCAGGTGAGAACAGACCCTGGCCCGGCTCAGGCGTCTCTGCTGCTGCCAGAAGCCCCAGGAGCCGGCCCCGAGCCAACGCAAGTCGCAAGCCAGCTACGCTTTTAAACTATAATTAATAAATAAAAAATAATTTAATTAATTAATTACTTATGTAATTAATTAATTTTTATGTAGCATATGTAATTTTAGGTGGCGGTATTAATTATAATTAATTAATTATAAGTACGTGTGATAAATTATTTTTGACTTTATACATTTTTTTCACTTTATTATTTTTTTTTTTTTTTTTTAGTTAATTACTTATTATTACTATTATTAATTGTTAATTTATTGTTAAGTCACACTATTATGTCACTATTTGTATAATAAAAAAAAAACTTCTATTTAATATGGGTGTTTTTTTTTATTATTACTTATAATAGCGACGATCCTTAAAAAAAAATGGCGATAACTCCTAAAATATGGATTTTAGGAGAAAATTTTTTGAGAGCTAAATTGTAGCTTAGGAAATTTTTTATGGAAAATTTTCGTATACTATGGAGTTATTTTTAATATTTTAGGAGATATAGGAAGTAGAAAATTAAAAATTATTATTTAGGAACTATAAAAGTGGTCATAACTCCTAAAATAATGATTTTAGGAAAGAATTTTGAAACTAAAATTGTAGCTTAGAAAATTTCCTATTAAAAATGTTTTTATACTATAGGGTTATTTTTAATATTTTAGGAGATATAGGAACTTTAGAAGTAATTAGGAAGTAGAAAATTTAAGGTTATTATTTAGGAACTATAAAAGTGGTCATAACTCCTAAAATAATGATTTTAGGAAAAAATCATAAGAATCTAAAATTGTAGCTTAGAAAATTTCCTACAAAAAACGTTTTTATACTTTATATCTATCTTTATTATTTTAGGAGTTATAGGAACTTTAGGAGTAATTAGGAAGTATAAAATTTAAGGTTATTATTTAGGAACTATAAAAATAGTGATAACTCCTAAAATAATGATTTTAGGAAAGAATTTTGAGGCTAAAATTGTAGTTTAGGAAATTTTCTATAAAAAATGTTTTTATACTATAGGGTTATTTTTAATATTTTAGGAGATACAGGAACTTTAGGAGTGACTAGAAAGTGGAAAGTTAAAAATTATTATTTAGGAACTATAAAAGTGGCGATAGCTCCTAAAATAATGATTTTAGGAAAAAATCATAAGAGACCAAAATTGTAGCTTAGGAAATTTCCTATCAAAAACGTTTGTGTTATACAGGTCTATCTTCAATATTTTAGGAGATATAGGATCTTTAAGAGTGTCTGAATAATTATAAATAAAAATTATGATCTAGTTACTATAAAAGTGGTCATAACTCCTAAAATAATGATTTTAGGAAAAAATCATAAAAAACTAAAATTGTAGCTTAATAAATTTCTTACAAAAAACGTTATTATACTATATATCTATCTTTAATATTATAGGAGATATAGGAACTTTAGGAAGTAGGAAATTAAAAATTATTATTTAGGAACTATAAACATGACTATAACTCCTAAAATAATGATTTTAGGAAAAAATCATTAGAGACCAAAATTGTAGCTTAGGAAATTTCCTATCAAAAACGTTTATGTTGTACAGGTCTATCTTCAATATTTTAGGAGATATAGGATCTTTAGGAGTGTCTGAATAATTATAAATAAAAATTATGATCTAGTTACTATAAAAGTGGTCATAACTCCTAAAATATTGATTTTAGGAAAAAATCATAAGAGACTAAAATTGTAGCTTAGAAAATTTCCTATTAATAATGTATTCATACTATAGGTCTATCTTTAATTTTTTAGGAGATATAGGAACTTTAGGAAGTAGAAAATTGAAAATTATTATTTAGGAACTATAAAAGTGGTCCTAACTCATAAAATATTGATTTTAGGAAAAAATCATAAGAGACCAAAATTGTAGCTTAGAAAATTTTCTACAAAAAACGTTATTATACTTTATATATATCTTTAATATTTTAGGAGATATCGTCGATTAAGTACTATTAACTCAATAAAAATTAAAAATTCATAACTCAATTCTTAAAAATTAATTTTAATTATTATTGTCATTGTTATTATTATCAGTGGAAAATTTCATAGGATTATTATGGATGAGGCGATAAATCTTCTAATTAGCGCGTTATAATTTCATAGATCATTATTCATCTTGTATATATTTTTAGAAAGAGATATCGGATATTTATGTGACACTTGGTTGTATTTAATAACTTAGATTGGCTAATCACAGATTTAATTTGCATATATGTATTATATATTATAATTATAATTATAAAATAAGAATGTAGACAGTACACTTCGATAACCCGAAGACCGGCGCCAAAGGCACTCAAAAGACACGTGCCACCAAATTTTTATTTATTTTCAGTTTTTTTAACCCATTCAATTTTTTTTTTTATGGTTCATTTTTGGGTTTTTTTTTTTTATCTATATGGATTTTGATTATGGCCATCTGCACTACTGAGATAAACATTACCTATTTTTGTGACAATCTCACAGTAAGTATGATTTTTTTATATAAATAAATTTTTGAGAAAAATTAAATTTTTTAATTTTTTTAGATCAGAAGTTGGAAAAATTTTAATTTCTATAATTAAATGACTTAATTATCATTGATTTTATGACCTAATTATACGACGGAATTTCAATTAGTTTTATGACTAAATATTAATTAACTTCATGACTTAATTTTCATTAATTTTATGACTTGAAGTTATATTTTTATGACTTAATTTTCACTGATTTTATAATTTAATGTTATTTTTTTATGACTTAATTTTATACCATTTTTTTCGATTATTTTATGACTTAATTTATTTTATGATCTAATTTTATGACTTAATCTATTTATGACCTAATTGATTTTATGATCTAATTTTATAATTAAATTCATTATATGACCTAATTTTAGGACTTAATTTATTTATGATTTGTTTTTCTTTTTTTTTTTATTATTATTGAAAAATTCGGCCTAGAACTGACGTTCG